GGTACGTCCCATGACAGTCGCCCAGGTCACCCGTCTGTTCCTGTCATCCGTCCATCCATCTGCTCTCAGTCCCCACCCTGGTTCCCTGGGGTGCTGGCCTTGCCGCTTGTAGACACAGCTTTCCTCTGTGCAGGAGGCCTGTGGTGGGGCTGGCCTGGCCCATCTGCCCCTGCCTCTATCTCCTCGACTGGGACACAGCCTGGCTTTGGCCAACTCTAGCCTTCCTTCTGGCTGGAACCTGGACTCCTCTTGTATCCTGTGCTGTGTTAGAGGTGTCTCAACTCTGTGTGTGGGACTGAGTGTTGGGAGCATGCTTAGCATCCCTGCAGGCCACACATGCACACTTCCCTTGAAGTGTCCCTTTTGCTACCGTAGTGAGCAGGGGTATTTTCTCTTAATGCTCAGGATGAAGGGATGCTGAAGGCTGCTGTGGCTGCTGTTGACTGTCACATGTCTGCCCAGGACTTTGTGTATCAGGAAGTCAATGCTGCTCTTCCATGTGTGCCTCTGTTCCTGCAGGAGGAGCGGACACTGTTCCAGTTGGATGAGGCCATTGAGGCACTGGATGCTGCCATTGAATATAAGAATGAGGCCATCACGTGCCGCCAGCGGGTGCTGCGGGCCTCAGCCTCCCTGCTGTCCCAGTGCGAGATGAACCTCATGGCCAAGCTCAGCTACCTCTCGTCTTCAGAGACCAGAGCCCTGCTCTGCAAGTATTTTGACAAGGTGGGTAAGCAGATACCCCTGCCTCTGCCTTCTGAGGCTCCACTGAGGCAGGAGTGTTTTCCTCCCAGGGAGGGCATTTTAGGCCACCACAGTCTGTCCTGTGCACCTAACCTTTCCGAAGCCATCTTATTTAGTGATGGTATGTAAGACCCAGTCTCCTGCAGTTCTGGCCTGCCATCTTCAAGGTGGTCCTTGCCCACAGCAGTGGATCTTGGGGAGGGTTTTGCCCCCAGGGGCATGTGTAGAGCTACTTCTGGTTACCACTGTGGTTGGGGTAGAGGCCAGGGATGCCATTAAACATCCTTTAGCACAGGACAGGCACCGTAATCAAGAACCACCTGACCCCAAATCCTGGTCATGCCAAGGTTGAGAACTGGCTGAGGCCCAGTGCTCCAGCCTGAGGCTCGGCCTGGCAGCACAGTAGTGTGTGTCTGGGGAGAGTTTGCAGCAGGGATGACAAAGATCCCATCTTGAAGGCCAGCTCTGGTCATTTGGAACCCATTGGCTAGAACACTGCCAAGAAGGTGTCCGCGGCAGGAAAGGCCCCAGTGATTTCTTGCGGGGCCAGCTTGCCCCACATTTGCTTCCCCGGCCGAGTCTGTGTGGAAGTGTGGGATGGCAGGTTGAGCCTGCTGGCCTCGGCACAGGTGGTGACGCTCCGGGAGGAGCAGCACCAACAGCAGATTGCCTTCTCGGAGCTGGAGATGCAGCTGGAGGAGCAGCAGAGGCTGGTGTACTGGCTGGAGGTGGCCCTCGAGCGCCAGCGCCTGGAGATGGACCGCCAGCTGACGCGGCAGCAAAAGGAACACGAGCAGAGCATGCAGCTGCTCCTCCAGCAGGGCCGGGGTGAGTGCTAGGCAGGCTGGGCTGGGTGGCTGCTGCCCATCTGCCCGAAGCTGCTCACCACTCTCCTCCCTCTCCACGCCAGACCACATGGGTGAGGGGTTCACAGACAGCAGGCGGCAATATGAGGCCCGGATCCAGGCTCTGGAGAAGGAACTGGGCCACCACTTATGGCTGAACCAGGAGCTCAAGCAGAAGCTGAGTGTGGGGAGTGCCACAGGCCAGAGCAGGGGTAACACCACCCTCAGCATCCGGGCCTGCTCTGCTGCTGGGGGGGGGGGGTTGCCAGGGTTGGGGGGCCACTTAAAAACCACCCTGGCTTGCTTGTTTTCCAAGCTGCTTATTGGCATTGGGAAGCTAGACTGGCATAGTACTTCCACCTCCACTTCTGACAAGGACATGCTGTTCTTGGTAACAGGTGGGGAGAGGAGGAGCCTTGGCCTGGAGAACAGACAGGGCCCTGGATATGATGAGGGGCTGCAGCCCACGGGGCCAGAGCTTCTCTGGCAGCCCCCGCTCCCCGACAACTGCCTCCGACCCCGGGAGGAGATTCGTGAGTTGGTCCATGCCCCGTTACCGCTGACGTGGAAGCGCTCCAGCCTGTGCTTCGAGGACCAGGGCTCCCTGGAGGATCCGAGGCCGAGGGAGGCAGCTGAGCCCCTGGTGGGGCGGGTGGTGCCCGTGGGTGAAGCTGGCCTGTCCTGGAACTTTGTACCCCTGCCCAAGCCACGGTGGGAGCCACGAAGGGCCAGTCCAGGGATGATTGATGTCCGGAAAAACCCTCTGTAGGCCAGTGGGGCAGGCCCCACCTTGGAGGACGATTCTCCTCCTGCTGAAAGGTGGAGTGCCTGGTTTCGTGTGTGAAGCATAGTCCTTGCCTCACACCCAAAGGTCCTTTACACCCACTGGCATCAACAAATTTGGGTCATAGCCCCAGGGACTTATTTTTCTCTGCGATGCTGGGGAATAAAACCAGGGTGTTGTGCGTGCTAAGCATGCACTCTACCCCTGGGCTATACTCCAGCCCTCAATTTAAAAAAATATGCAAGTTCCTACCACCCACTTCCTTTAAGCTGCAGGAACTGATTGCCAGCTATTGGCTTGCTCAAGTTTCAGGGCAATTCTGATTTCAAACTTCATGTGCTTGAAGTTTCCTTAAGGTGGTCAGCAGCAACGGGATTGTGGTTTAATTGGTCTCATGTAGATGGGGGAGCTAGGGAATTTATTAGCATATTTTTAGAATTTTTTGTCATTTCATAATAAACAGGAAAACTGTTATAGTTTGGATCTTACATGTCATGCGTTTGTTGAAGGCTTGGTCTTCTGCTGATGGCACTGCTGGGGACCTTTAGGAAGTGGCCATTAGGGTTGTGCCACTGAAAGGGAGACTGGGACCCTGGCCCCTTCTCGTTGTCCTTTTGCTCCCAGGCCCCAAAACAGAGATAACTCACCATGGATTGAAACTGAGCTAAAATAGACCTTTTCTTTCTTCTAAGTTATTTTAGGTATTTGTCACAGGACAGAAAGCTACCACAGAAAACTGGTAGAAGTGCAGTTGTTACCAAATCTTCAGGTTCTTCTTACTTGATAACTGCAAATAACTAGTTCTAGGAGCAGGCAGCACATTTAACTGGATGGCCAATAAGTGGAGAAGGGGAGTCCCCACTCCAAGGCACCTTCTCCCCAAGCAGGTGTGGAGTCTGGACTTTTACTAGGCCTGGTTTATAGTGGGTGTGTGATGTGCATGTTGTCGCAGAGCTTTTCACAGCAAGGGGAGACTTCCAGGAAGCAGGGTGCCACCCTTCTATTCCCTAATTAGGGGATGGTTGGGTCTGTCCTAGTGCTGGTGGGTTAGTCATTATGAGCTCAAGGTGGGCTGGAGTGTCAGTGGTGTCCAGACCAGGTGGTCAGCCTGGAGCCCCCCCTGCGGTGATTGGGAGGATGTGCAACTTCTGGATGGCAGCTAGGAGTGCGGGGTTATGAGGTATCAGAAATTCTGGGATTCGGTCTGGTGACAGGTGCTATCACTGTACCTGATAGTGTGATTCAGCAGCCTTTGGGATTGGTTTGCAATTTAGAAAAGTTTGGCAAGCCAGGCTAGAGAAAGCCTCGAACACTGTGAGCAGAAGTTAATGGGCAGGTCTGGTCAGAGCTCAGACCAGTGGAGCAGGAGTATGCACAGGAAAGGCTGTGCTGGTGAGGCTTCTGGTGGAAATGAGGACACTATTGGGAATGGACTAGAAGCCACGATGAAACTCTCCATTAAAGAACTTGTTTACCTTCTGTCCAGGGCCTGAGATTTTTTGGAAGGTTGAGATGAAGGGTGATGGGCCAGTTACCCTAGTGGAGATGTCAGGGCAGCACAGCTTCAGGCAGTACACTGCTGACTGCTTTCAGCTAGACTGACACTGAGAGGCAGGAGCAAAAAGCAGAGTGGAAAGATTTGAAAAATTTGTGGTCAGAAAAAGAGCATGGTTTAAGTTGCACCCAAGGAGTGCATGGTTGCTAGAAATCAGTGCTATTAAAAAGAAACCAGGGCCGGGAATTTAGCTCAGTGGTTCTGCTGCCTGCCTAAAAAAACCAAAAACAACCCCAAGTAGGCAGGTGGTCTGTGACCCCAGCACTCAGGGGACCTTGAATTTGAAGCGATCCTCCTGCCTCAGCCTTGAATAATCCGTTAATTCTTACAGGGGCCTGCAGTATAGCTGAGTTTACCTTAAGTCGCAGAGAACTCTTGGGACTGGACTCTTGAGCAGTGCTACAGATGGACTGAATGATTTTGCACTGACGTGGACATGGGCCTTGGGGGTCAGGGGTGGATCGTGAATGGCTGCTCAGGTGTTGAGGCTTGGTCCCCAGTTAAGGTTCTGTAGGAAGGTGGTGTGGTCTGTGGAAACTTTAGGTCACTGGGGTTGTGCCCTTTAAGGGACATTGGGATCCTGGTGCCCCCTGGGTACCATGAGGCGCTCAACTGCACAGACCCCAAAACACTGCAGCCACTGACCATGGGCTGAAGCCTCCAAAGCTGTGAGCACAAGTCACGCCTTTTGCCCTTATAAGTGATCTCAGGTACCTGTCACGGCAGTGGGGAGCTCACACACTTCTGCAGGGAGATGGGAGTTTTCACTTGGAATTGGATTATAAGCCAGTAGGAAGAATCCCATCAGGGACAACAGGCTTGAGTCCTCTTAGAGACCATGAGGTCTGGCTGTGCCATGGGGTGGTCAGGGGGAAGCCACCTGGTGGTGCTAGGTGACAGTCTCCCCTGGAACAGCGCAGCCTGTGGCATAAATTGGCTCTCAGGCCAGACCTTGAAATGTGGCTGCTCTGGAAACTGCTAGAGCTGGAGCAGTTGCAGGTAACCTTAGGTGGGAACATTAAACAGAAAAGCACTGAAGAAGGCTAAGCAGCCAGAAATGATTTCACTATCAAACAGGGAATGCAAACATTTATTCCATTGCCTGCCACAGCAGTTTTGTGCACAGGCTTCACAGTTACAAATTACTCCTTGTGTCGAAGCATCCTAGCCTTACAGCAGCTTCTCAAGGGACCCCGTGAGGGGCTCCTGTCTCCATTTTCACAAGTGAGGCAGTGGCCTCCTGACTTGTGTTTGGGTGTTGCTGGAACGGGACCCCGTCTTAGTAGAGATCCTTGCCCAGTTTCCCGACTCCTGGGCCACCTGAGTCTCAGCAGCTACACTGATACCCACCTGACCTCCCCAGCCAGGCAGGGCAGGGCCTGGGGTGGGTTACCAAACAAGGTGCAGCTGGGCAGTGGGGGAGTCCCTGAGAGGAACCAGAAGACTCGGGAATCTGCAAGCTGACCACGGTAAAAAAAGGCTTGGGATCAGGTCTCTTAATTCCTTTAAGTCTATGGGGACCTGGCTGATTTCAGCTTCTCTTTCTGGAGGGTCCTGGGCCCCTTTAGCAGCAGTTTCCTCTGTCCTGAGCCCCCTGCTGGGAAGCCTAGGTGGTACCAGTGGGGAACAGCTGCCACCCTCATGGCAGGCACCTCTGCCCAGGCCTAGCAGTGCTGGTTGCTGTCAGTCCTCCTGCAGGCGCTGGCCTAATTAGCTAATGAGCTTCTTCCGGGTGTAAGTCCTGCTGAAGGGGCGCCTCCGGGAGAAGGCTTGGCTGAGAGGGGATGCTTCTGCAGTGGTGGGAAAGACATCCACATTCTCATCTAGAAAAAGGCAGAGAAGTGACTGAAGACTGAATAGAAGGAAACTGGTTTGAGCTGCAGGAGATTGCACATGAAGTCAGGCTTAAGACCACTGGACTGCAGGGAGGATGGACCTTTTCATCCTGCAGAAACATAAACTCCCTTTCTTACAAGGCCCCCTTTCATGGTTATGCACAGGGCTGAAAGCAAGAAGCCACTATGGAAATTCAAGTACCTGCTGTCTCAGATCTGAGGGCTTTATGCTATTTTACATGACTTACATCCCTGTCTCAAGATGATCCCAAGGAAGAAGCCTCCTCTGGTAGACTGATTCTGACCATCAGTGCTTTAACACACCGAGTATATGGGAAGCACAGGCATAAACCCGCTGGCAGGAGTGGCTGGTTCTGAGCACACCTGTCGGGCTACCAGAGCTTTCCTGTTCAGACTCTAGGCAGTGTGTCCCAAGGGGCCATCCATCACCTGTCATCACCCAAGAAGAATCAAGTGCTGCAGGAGGATTGCAGGGAAGTTTCTTTTGGGTGCAAAAGGTTTGGGAAGGACTGACACTAATCACAAATTGCCCACTCCATCCTTGGTGTCTCCCAAAGATGAGGTGCCTTGCTCTAGAGACCTTTGCAGACCTCTCCAGTGCTTACCTGTGGGGTCCAAGCACTGCGAGGACGCTGCCTTCCTGGGGAGCAGTAGTGGAGACTGGGTGAGAGCCTGCAGCCCACTGGCTGAGAGGCAGCTCCATACAGCACAGCCATGAGGCGGGGTGCAGCCTAGGGAAAGGCAGGCGGTCAGTGTACCCTATGGGGCCCCAGCAGGTTAAGCCCCAGGCCCCAAGCTTCAAATGCCTCCTTGCTGATGCTGCCAAATGAAACCACAGGGTGCGAGGGTTTCAAGCACAAACTCACCAGAAGCGAACACTTCGTCATCCCCTGTGGAGGGCAGCTGTGGCATGGTCCACCTTGGACACCCCTTTTCCTGGTTCCTCATGTTTGCGTCTTCCCTTGGGGCTTCATACACTCTTTTGGCTCCACACTCACCTTCTTCCTTGGCAAACAAATGTCTCTTTCTGGAACCCAACCCAAACTGTCCCCATGAGAAGGCTTCCTCGGCCTTGGGGACACTGTCCCCAGGAGGCGACTGGTCTGGGAGCTGACACACCCCCTCAAGCTCAAAGTCCTCCAAGATGGCAGTCTTGTGGAGGCTGAGTTCAAGGCCTTGCTCCTTGGCCTGGGGCTCAGGGTCTGTGCCCGCCTCGCTTCTCCCCGAGGAGAGCCCATTGCTACAGTCCACTGCCCTCTTCCTCCGGGGCCAGTCTTTAATGGTGTCGGGAGTGGTCTTCCCACTGTGCTTAGGGGATGGTGTCCAGGGAATCCCAACATCTGTCTGAAATGGAGAGGGGGTACTGGATGGACAGTGGGTTGGGGTGCAGGACTGGCAGATGTAGGTCTGCCCCTTGCCAGGGGTGCTATGCGAGGGGCGGAGGCAAGGAGGTGACATGTAAGTAGCCTCGGGCTTGCTGGTGGCTCTGCTGATCCTGGGCATGCTGAGTCCAGGGAGGGAGCCCTCCTCACCCAGACCCTCAGCTTCAGCCAGTGCACTGGAGTCTACCTTCTTAATCCGAAGCTTGGGCAGGCCAGAGGCCTGCATCTCCAGCTCCACCTCATAGGTGTGCGGACTGCTGGGGACCTGCGGAGGCCTCACCAGAGCTCTCGGGCTCTCCAGCTGTGTCACAGCCTGGTGCTGCCATCCATCTGGAGGACAGCACAGGGTGTAGGACACTGTCATGGGAGAGCCAGGCCCAGAGCAAGAAGCAGGGGGCGAAGTTCTGGCATCAAGTATGGAGGGTGGCTCCCAGGCATGATCTGCTGTCCTTAGCCCTGTGTCTTCATCCCCTGGTGAGATGCCACCTCTCACTGCATGGCTCCCATCACCCCAGTGTTTGGCTTCAAGAAGAGTTAGGTAGTCTGTGTCACTTGCAACGAGCAGAGGGGAGGATCCATGACAGTCACTGCTGACACCAGCACCCAGGTGCCTCTGTCTTTCAGGAGAGGACTGTGGAGAGAGGCTCCCTTCCTTTCGGTCCTTTTTAGAACCTGTGGTGGCAGCTGGGCTGGTAGCAGTAGCAACTCCAAGCACAACAGAGGGCGGCCCAGGTTGGCATTCCAGAGAGCCTTGTTCAGGGTTTGAGGTCTTTCTATACTGTCTCTCAAGTTTTGACGGTGGTGGAGGGGGGACAGTGACAGACGCGACTCTCTGTGGGACTGTGGGGGGAGTTGAGGGACCAGCACAGGAGGGAGATGTGGCCCTGCTGGGTGACGCCTGGTGCTCTTTCTGATCCAGTCCTCCAGGGCCAGGGGGTGCTGTGGATGGGCTCCTAAGTGGGCTCTTGGGAACATCCCACTTCTCTGGAGCACCAGGTGGGGAAGAAGTCACAGTTGTGTTCCTGGGTCTCTTGGAGGTCCGGACAGCTTTATCCTTTAGTGTCTGTGCTGGTACCTCTGCCTGAGAAAGTCTGGGGAGAAGGGGCTGCTGGCACTTTTGACCCTGAGGTGGGCCCAGGAGGGCTGCTGCCTTCGGGGGTGTCCTGAGGCAGTGCTTCGTGGAGGTCACACACTCACTCTGGGGCTGGGGAATGGAGGGAATCGGGGATGTCGGACAGCTGGGGCTTTCTGGACTGGAATTCATCAGACGTGGCCATGCATGGTTCAGCAAGAACCCGGGTGGCTGAGCACCTGGCCTGGTGGGTGTTCTTGGGGTATCTATGTCAAGAGGAGAGCCCCCTTCTGCCCGGGACGGTCCTTCCTGAAGTGTAGCTCTTGACGCCAACTGTGAGCAGTGGCTGGATGAGGAGGGGTTCTGTGGGGCCTTCTCAGCCATGGCAGACTCTGTGGGAGTCACTTCTGTAGTGGGGCACAGTGGCCTCTCCAGAGTGCATGGTGCAGTCTGCAGTGGGAACCTTCTTGGCGTTGTCTTAGGAAAGCTTGGAGATTTTCGGTAACTCTTCTTAGGAGTCTGTAAAGAAAAATGATTATTTTAGCACTCGAAACATTATAACTCATATTCTCTAAAGTGTCTTAGTGACCTCTAAGAGGACTGGAAAAGGAAACAGAACATTAAAATCAGCAGCAGGATCTTAAGTTGGGAATTCTATATATCGGCCTGTTGTCCTCTGCAGATCTCAACTCAGATTTCTACTTGTCCACTTTTTATAGGGCCAAGCAATGTATTCAAACTTTGTTCCAAGAACACTTTTATTAGCACACTATAGCTAACCATGCCTTGCCCCTAACTGTATCACTCCAGCACTCATGGTTACCCACCGGCTCTCCCCTCCTCTCAAACAAAATAGCTACTGCTGGGCCCAGGATTTAGCTCAGTGGTTCCGGCGCCTGCCTTGCAAGCACAAGGTCCTGAGTTCGATCCCTGATACCAAAAAAAAAAAAGAAAAAAGAAAAACAAAATAGCTACTGCTGACCTTTGCCGAAAGCAGCCCCCGGAAGCCACTTAGCCCATCTCAGCTCCACCAGCCCATGTGTACTACACACCTACTATGTGTAGGCACTGTGGGGCGGACACAACCACAATGACACTGCACACCAAAATAGCCTTTTCTTCTCAAAAACAACCTAGGTAAACATCTCCACAGGTGAGACCAAACAACCATCTTTTTTAGTCTTACTGGATTGTCCCAAGGGAATCACAGTCTGGCTGGCATCTTATGTTCAGTGGGGTACGGACAGGTAAGACCTGCCAGCACAGTGGCAGGGCAGGCAAGGGCTGAGCTGTGTAACTCGCTGGGGGCTGGGGAAGAAGTGCTAGTGAGTCAGGTGTTCAAGCATGGCTATTAGCAGGGAAGGGCAGAGGCCGGAGAGTGGGGCAGAGTGGACATTAGGCACAGAACACAGTATGAGCAGAGGCACGGATGTGGTAGATGGCAGCTGTATGCGGGGTGGTACACAGCCTGCTTTGCTGGGCAGGAGTGTCAGGCAGGGAGAGCGGAGGCCAGCCAGGCAGGTAGGGACCAAATCATGGAGGACCCTGCCCAGGGTACAAGATTGACCCTCATCATGTAATCTGTGGTCTCCAAACCTTTCCCCAGAGCTCTCTGTGCTCCCTAACCAGGACACAGTTTAAATGGGTTTCCAAACAAAATGACTATTTTTGAACACAAGAGTTCCATTTTATGAAACTTTAGAAACTTGGCTTTAGCAGATAAGGAATCTACAAAGCCTTAGGCAAAGCAAAATCAGATGAATGTTTCAGGAAGATTATTCTGTCCTCTGGGTGGTGGGTGGATTTAAGAGGGAAAAGCCTGTTGAAATGTTCCAGGTGGAGCTAAATGAGGGGAGGAATTGCAGGGATGGAAGAGAGGGGTGGGTACCACAGCTAGTTTGTAAAAATGCAGGCAGTACTGGGGTGAAGAACCAAGTCCCAGGACAGAGAGAAGTCAAGGGTGACCCCCAGGTTTCTAACAGGGGTGCTAGATAGGGGGGCAATCAAATGGAAATGCAGGACTGTGTGGCGCACACTGCAGAAAGACACACATGGAGCATACAATACAGATAAAGCCAAGATGGTGGATGAGAGCATGCCTATCACCCAACCACCCCAAGTCGCTATTATTATCTACAGCCACCTGCTTTCTCTATGGGTTTCTTGGCCACCTCTGTTCCCCGAGACTATACCTGCTAATCATTATAGAAACTATATACCTGGTAAACTGGAGGGATCTCAGAACTCAGCTTGCTTCTTGACAGTCTTTTAATTCGGGCCGAACCCTTCCCTGAGGGGCTGACCATCTCAGACACTGCCCCAAAAAGAAGCCTCTTGGGAGACTGAATACTTTGGATCGGAGAATTTTCTCTTTGGTCTGCAAATCAAAGATAGCAACACATTTAATTATTTATCAAGCCCAGTCCTCTCAACACGTATGAAAAATAGCCAGTCTGTGTAAGAAATAAAAGTACTTTTAGAGGGAAAATTATTAGGTGGGGGGGATATTCCTAATTATGTCAGCTACCGCAATGGTTGCTGAGACTACAAATTAACCCCAGGTCCTATGTTAGAAAAGTAATTTATAAGTATAAACATAAAAACACATCTGTTAGCCAAGCTAATCATGGATAAAAGAATAAAGAACATAAAAACAGGTGTGACCTTTTATTCTGTCTATGTGGAGGTTCTGCCTATATGGTGGGCATTGTGGGTAATTTCCTGTTGAAAGAATGAACTACTTATAATAGTGGTGCGGACAGCCAGTTGTAGGAATCAAAGAGATGACTGATTACAGTGGCCAAGGATTGTTCATCTCGTCATTGCCTTGACCTCCACTGTATACACACATTGTCCTCCATTCAAAAAGGAAAATGTCAGATTGCATGCAAAAACACTTCCCACCAAGTCAGCGTGGACTTGTGAAGAAAGAAGGGCCCTGTTACCTGACTTGTTTTGCTGGAATGAACGGACTCTTTGCATACTTCTCAACGCTGGCTGAGACACAGAATAGAAGGAACCAGAATTTCTTCGGCTAAATGGTAATTGCTTGATTCGAGGACTTCGCCTCAAACTTATTTCTGCAAAATGAGAACCAGTTAGTAACCAGGGAGAACTATAAACCTGACACCTCATGTTGTCAAAATAGGCAAAACTTATGTAATACCATATTTAAGATGGAAAGTTGACATCAGCTTTGAGATTTCTAAAGTGTCTCTTAAAAAGCTAAGAGAGGCAGGGCCAGGGATTTAGCTCAGTGGCCCCACACCTACCTTGCAAGAGAAAGGTCCCGAGTTCGATCCCTGGTACCGCAAAAAAAAAAAAAACAAAAAACAAAAACCTAAGAAGGAACTGGGCGTGGTGGTACAGCACTCTGGGAATTGAGGCAGAAGGATCCCAAGTCTGAGCCCAGCCTGGGCAATTTGGTGAGATCCTGTCTCAAAATAAAAAAGGCGTAGGGATGTAGCTAAGTGCAAACCAGGGATGTAGCCCTGGGTTCAATCTCTAGTAATGGAAAAAAAAAAAGGGCAAAGCTAAGAGGGGTTTGACACATGGTCCCAACAGGCTATTAAAAAACCCACTGAACTATTAAGACTGTGACCTTTAGGAGTCTCATAATCTGCCACCTTTATGCATGACATAGGGTGAAAAAAGGTATCTCCTATGACACCCATAAAGGTGGCAGATTGTTAGGCTCCTGAAGATCACAGTCTATCCAGGTTTCATATGTGCATATTACATATATTTATATAGAAATAGTACTGCTAAGATTATATGCTAATGTGTTAACAGAGTATTTCTGAGTAGTGGAATTATCAGATAATTTAAAAAATTTTGTCTTCTCTATATTTTGTAATTTTTCTTCAACAAACATGAATTATTTGAGCAATTAAAAAAAGAAGGTATGGGGCTGGGGATTTAGCTCAGTGGTTCTGTCACCTGCCTCGCAAGCGCAAGGACCCGAGTTCAATCCCCAGTATCAAAAAAAAAAAAGGTAGTTTTTGAAAACCCTTACTCCGTCGTGTACTTTTTAAAAAATTTTGTTTTTTGAGACAGGGGTCTTCCTGGCCTCAAACTCACTATATAGCCCAGGATGCCCCTGAACTTGTGATCCTCCTGCCTCAGTCTCCCAAGTGCTGGGATTACAGGCATGTGACACCATGCCTGACTCTGTCATGGATTTTTTAAATAAGCCACAGTATTTTGTATAACATGGTAGTTTAATCCTCATACGGAACTACATCTCTATTATGTAAGAATATTTCTTCCCCAATAATTCTCTTCATAAATTCTACGTAAAAGAACATTTGCATATAGTTACTGAGCTTCACTATGGACCTGGAGTCATCAGAATTTCTGTGAACTATCTGAGCATATGCAGAGTGACAGTACAAGTGCAGAATGATTCTTGTAAAAGTCAAGTAGAAGACAAAAAAACACAGTAGGTAATATTCACCATCTCCTTTTTCAGGGGACTCATCAACAACATCGATGTCAGGACCAGGATCAGAGGACCTTCAGAAACAACCAGGAAAAGGATTCAGTATCACTTAAAACTAACATACTTTAAGCCAGAGATAGCGTCTCATCTAACAAGGCAGCAAAGACCAGAGTCTGATAATACTAGCACTGGTAAGCATTTTCATACATTATTTTTATTAATGAATTATTTTTGGGATAGCATTTCACCACATAGTTCAGAATGGCCTTGAACTCAGTAGGTAGCTCAGGCTGGATTCAAACTCAGCAATCCTCCTGCCTTAGCTTCCCAAGTGGTGGAATCACAGGTGTGCGGCACAGCTTATTATTGTTTATTTATATTTTGGTGCTGAGGCTTGAACCCAGGGCCTTGTGCAGCTCCATATATGATAACTATTAAGGGTAAGATGGTTAAAATGCTTTTGTCAGAAAACAATTTTACAACATCACAAATAACTTTATTATACATTGATACTTTTAATTCCATAATGTATTAAAAATTAAACACTCAAAAAAAATTTTTTTTTTGGTGTTTTGAGGCAGGGTCTCCCTTTGTAGTTCAGGCTGACCCTGTACTCACTATGTAGCCCAGGCTGGCCTTGAACTAGGGATTACAGGCGTGTGCAACCATGCCTGGCTCTAAATACTCAAGTTTTTTTTCTGGTATTGGGGATCAAACTCACAACCTTGTGCTTGCAAGGCAGGTGTGGTACCACTGAGCTAAATCCCCAGCTTAAGTTTTTAAGACCTTTAATTTCTGGCAGTTTGGCAAGGACTTCTGACCCATCAACTTCACTTCTCACAATTTATCCTATAAACTTTCATAAATGTGTAAAATTTATATACAAATGATGCCCAGAGGGAGTTGCAGCAAGATGCAGATACACTTCTCCCTGTCCCCTTGAAAGGGCAGCTAAAAACCCCTCCATGCTCTGTGAAAAACAAGCAGAAGACAATTCTGACAGGTGGAGAGGTGGCAGCCTGGCACAGACCTGAGACCTGAGGAGAGAAGGGTAGTGGCCCTCTCTGCATTTTCTTTCTGCTGCTGAGTATCCCTGACTTTATGCTGGCAGAGTTAACAACATAAATGTGCCACAGGTACAGACTAAAAACAATCCCAGGAAAGCCAGCTCTCTCAGGCTGAAGAACCAGGAAAGGGGCAGGCAATCATGACCAAACATTTGGAGACAGTAACTCCCTGCTCCAACTAGCATCCAAGGAAAAAACCCACAGCCCCCCCACCGCCCAGCAAAGGCCCAGCTGGGATTTCCAGCCTTGCCTGGTGGGTCTGAGGACACACCCTTCCCCACGTCAACAGGCACAGGAGCTTAAAACTGGGAAATCCATTCAGTTGAATACTCCTCAGCAATAAAAAGGGTGAAACTGCTGATACAAGCAACATGCATAAATCTTAAAATAATTATGCCAAGTGAAAGAGGCCAGATAATAACACAGTCTGCCTCCAGAGTTTACGAAATGCTCTCTGCTTATAAGCACCATGGTTAAGATTTAAGTAATGAAGGTCAACAGAAGGCAAACAGTGACCTTCAAGATCAAGTGCTGTGTCCAGTATGAGAACGTCACTCACCTGCCCTTGATTTGTCTGTGAAGGAGCCTCCTCGAGATTTGCTTATGGACTGGAGTCTCAGCCACACTCTTAGTCAGCAGCTTGTGATAACCTAAAATTTCAGAAAAGCAGCTTCAACTATACATTTCACTTAACCTTCTCAAACAGCAGCATTATTACCTAGTTGTAAGTATCTTACATTCCTTTTTTTTTTTTTTTTGGTACCGGGGATCGAACTCGGGTCCTTGCGCTTGTGTAGCAGGTGTCGAAACCACTGAGCTAAATCCCTGGCTAGTTGTAAGTATCTTAATCTTTGAGCCAAGTACTGTGCTCATAGGACTTAACAAGAGAGAACAGTTTATTAGCACTATTAGAGATTAAATGATGACATAAGCCAATGGGAAATATTACACATTTCTCTAATAAGCACCCTGAAAAATGAAAAATATTTGTTAGTAGGTTCTGGTGCTGAAGATTAAATGAAATAAAATATATAAAAATGATCACAAGCCATGCAAGTGTTATTAAGATAAATTTACCTGGCACAGTATTTCCAATTAGGTAGTTGAGCTACTCATGGGAGGATGCTTCAGAGTGAGTTATATGATCAGAAAGAGGAATGCCATGGGCTGGGGATTTAGCTCAGTGGTTCCACCACCTGCCTTGCAAATGAAAGGTCCCAAGTTTGATGCCCGGTACAAAAAAAAGGAAAGGAAAGGAATGACATCAGTAGGGATGGTGGAATGAAGACCTCAGAAAACAGGAACGACCTCCATAAAAGGAATAAGAACACCAGCAAAAATGGAAAATCAGTCTTTTTAGGGCTCTGGAGATTAGTTACAGGTTTCCAACAATCTAGGAAGTACTTACTCAAGAAAAGTAGCTGGAACTTAGTAAGCAAGCACAATGAGCTCTGTGGAATTGTAACCCACCCCAGGCCCACGCCCTCCCCAGCCCAGTGGTCACTTTGAAAACTAGCAGCCCAGCAGCCTCAGGATGGGACAGAGTGGCCTGGAACTCCTGCAATTTACTAGAATTGGAAACACCAAAGCTGCCTGAAGTGGTGGTAACATCTGGGAAAGAATTTTTATACCTAATAACCATTCAGAAATGAAGAAGGAAGTTACACATTCCCAGTTTAAAACAAAACAGAACAGAATTTGTCATTAGCAGACCTGCAAGAGAAAAGTAAAGGAGTCCTTCAGACTGACACAATCAACATGTTGTTTTCCTGAACAACATGGAGAATTAAAGAGCACTAGTAAAGCAACTACATAAGTAAGTATAAAAGATTGTATAGAAATATTTTTACATACAACTCTTTTTTGCCCTCAGATTAAAAAAAAACAAACAAAAACCAGACATTGGAATTACTAGTCAAAAATGTTAAACTGGCTTTTCTAAATGTTTCATGAACTCATGAAACCATGGAAAAAGAACTTTTTAAAAACCAGGAAAATAACATATGAACAAAATGAGAATATCAGCAACACATTAGAATTATAAAAAGGCTGGGCACAATGGCACACACCTGTAATCTCAGCACTTAGGAGGCTGAGGCAGGAGGATCTCTGTGAGTTCGAGGTCAGCCTGGGTTACATAGTGAGTTCAAGGACAGTCTCAACTAGATAGTGAGACCCTGTCTCAAAAAGAATTATAAGGGCTGGGGATTTAGCTCAGTGGTTTCGCCGCGTGCTGTGCAAGCTCAAGGACCTGAGTTCGATCCCTGGTACCAAAAAAAAAAAAAAAAGAAAAAGAATGGTAAAAGGAACCAAACAAATTCTGGGGCTAAAAAGTATAATGACTGTTTTATCTTCAGGGACTGAGGATCGAACCCAGGTCCTTCCACATGCTAAACACACACTCTTCCACTAAGCGTCACTGAGCCCCCAAAGTACCATACGATAAGTGAAACAAAACTTCACGAGCAGAGTTCAATCTCAAATTTGAACAGGCCGAAGAATCACTGAACTCGAAAATAAGGCAATCAGTAATTATGCAATATGAGCAGAAAGAAAAAGGAACAAGGCCTCAGGGACCGGTGGACACCATCAAGCATACAGCTGCACACAACATGGGAGTCCCAGAAGGAGACACAAAGTGGCAGAAAAACTTTGAAGAAATGGTTGGAAACCTCCTAAATTTAATGAAAGACATTACTCTACACATCAAAGATGTTAAATGAGTTCCAGGCAGTTTAAACTTAAAGGGGTCCACAGGGGCTCATTATAGTCAAATTATCAAAACCCAAAGATGAAGAGAGAATCTTGGAAGCAACAGAAGGCAGTGGATGACATCCTTCAAGGAAAGGAAAAAGGTAGTCACCAAGAATTATATATCTTTCAAGAATAAAATAGAAATGGGCCAGGGATTTAGCTCAGTGGTTCCACAGCCTGCCCCGTAAGTGCAAGGACCCGAGTTCAATCCACGGTACCAAAAAAAGAGAATAAAATAGAAATTAAGATATTCCCACACCAAGAAAAGCTGAAGGAGTTTACTACCAGCAGACCTGCACTCCAAGGAAATCTGGAGTGCTTCAGGCTCAAATGAAAGGACATTAGCCAGCCATAAAGAAAAGAAAGGATACTGGCAAAGTAATTCATAGGTTAATATAAAAGCTAGTAGTAGTATGGTACTTTTGATTGCAACTCCTCTTTTTTCCTTTATGTTTTAAAAGGCAAATGCAAAAAGCAATAATTATAAATCTACATTAGGGCCACAAAATGTATAAGGATGTATTCTATGACATAACAATGTTAAAAAGGAGGAAAGAAATATATAATAACAAAATGTTTGAGTACTACTGAAACTCATTTGGTTTTATACAAACTAGATTTTTTAAGTTTAAGATGTCGACTGTGTCTCCAACCACTAAAACAATTATTACAAAACACACATAGAGGGGAATCAAAATGGTACCCTACCAAAAAAATCAGATAACAACAAAAAGGGTGGTAGTAGAGTAACTGAAGAACAAAAAGCCATAAAATATACAGAAAACAAATACAAAAATGGCAGAAGTGATTCCTTAGCAGTAATTACATTAAATTGCAAATGGCTTAACCACTACAATAAGAAAGCAAAAATTGGTCAAAGGATTATGAAAACATGATCCACATACATGCTATCTACTGGAGACTCAATCTAGATTTAAGAACGCAGAGGTTAAAAGTAAAAAGGTAGCAAAAGGTATGCTATGCAAAAGCTGGATGGGTATATTATTGTGAGACAAAACAGACTTTAAGCCAAAAAGATTATAAAAGACAAAAAGGTCACATATTAACAAAAAGTTCAATTCATCAGGAAATAACAATTGTAAACATATACACCCACCCAACAATGGAATTCCAAAATACATAAAAGAAAAAACTGGCAGACTTGCACCAGGGATTTAGCTCAGTGGTGCTGCTGCCTGCCTTGCAAATGTAAGGTCCTGAGTTCGATCCCCGGTACCAAATAAAATAAATAAATAAATAAAAATAACAATAAAAAGACTGAATTCAGTCATACTGTACTCTTCAACACCAATGAAGCGAAACTAAAAATCAATAGAAGGAATTTGGGAAACTCATGAATATACAGACATTAACAGACTGATACATAACCAATGGGTCAAAGAAGAAATCATAAGGGATTAGAAAATATTTTGAGATGATTACCATGAAAACACATCATACCCAAACTTACAGGCTACAGCTACAGCAGTGCTTAGCGGAACTTATAGCTGTAAACACTTGTATTAAAGAAAAAGAGAGCTTTCAAATCACTAACTTGTCACCGTAACCAAAATAATTTGAGAGGGAAGGAAATAAATGAAAGTGAGATTAGAAAAGCAGTAGAGAAAAGTTCTAATTCCTTAAAAAGATAAATAAAAATGACAAACCTATTAGCTACACCGACCAAGAGAAAAAGGGAAGACTAAATCAGGAATCAAAGAGGGGACACCGCCACCGGGAAGTCTGTCACCAACAAAACGGCTCCTTTCTTGGTTACCCTGACATGTAGTACTTTTGGCCTTCTTGAAGTTGTCACGTTTATGGTCCAGACCTTCCAAGGCAGACACAGAATGACTTCTAGGCAGGCCCCGCTTTAGTGATCTCTTTGAAGGAGAAATCATTTCCTGGTTGAAGAGATTTCTTCGAACTTTGGTCACTTCTGAAAACATGGCATGGGGGTAGGGACAAAAAGAAAAAGTGAACTATTATATTCAGTAAAACAGAGGAACTCTTATCCAACCAGAGAAGCTGCTTAAAGAAACTACAGCTGATTGGTACATTCACATTTACTAAAGATTTCTTCTAAGCCCTGTACTCTGGAAGGCTTAAGTACCAGCCTGGGCAACTTAGTGAGACTCTGTCACAAAATAAATTAATAAATAATAAATTAATAAAAAATAAAAATAAATTAATAAATAGCTCATTGTGAAGGCCTTGGGCTCAACCTCTAGTATCTCAAAAAATAAAAAAAAAATTTAAAAATCCTTAGATAGTATACTGCTATGGTGCCTTAAAACTACTCTTACAGCAGCTTCAGAAAGTTTTTGTGTAAAACTGTGCACAAGGTAGGGGTCCAATTCATTCTTTACAGCTGGTGCAGTATTACTTCATCAAGACTGCTCATTCCCCAGTAAACTGTCTTGGATTCCTGCTTGAATAATCAGTTGACCATAATAAATGCTAGATGTCAATTCTTTTTTACTTACTTTTTTTTGGGGGGTACCTGGGACCGAACTCAGGACCTTGCCCTTGCAAGGTGGGCGGCGGCACCACTGAGCTAAATCCCCAGCCCTAGAGTGTTAATTCTTAAGTAGAACCCGGCAGTGATGCTATCTAGTCCTGGGCATTTCTTTAGGAGAAATTTTTTGACAACTGATTAAATCCTTGTACCTATTATAGAGCTATTCTATTTCTTCTGAAATCTGTTAATTGTTTGTGTTCTTCTAGGAATTTGTCCATTTAATCTAGCTAGCTAATTTATTGATATATACTTGTTCATAATTGTTTATTCGATACAAATTCATTTTCAATCCAATATTCAGGAGCACAAGGCAGGCCTGGCATCTTTTGTTAAACTAGAAGCTTTACTCATTGTAAAATGGGACATAATTCTTAAGTAAGTGGATAGCTAATATGTCATGGTCCTATTAATATATTCCAATATTATTATTTTTCTCATTTTCTACTGTATTATATTCAGCTCAGCTTTGAGAAACTTTTCTTTTTGAGGTACTGGGGATTGAACCCAGGGCCTTTGGACTGAGCTACATCCCTATCCCTTTTCTCATGTTTTACTTTGAGGCAGAATCTCACTTCGTTCAGTTTCCCATACTGGACTTGAATTTGCAATCCTCCTGCCTCAGTCTCCCAGAATGCTAAAATTATAGGTATGTGCCACTATTCCTAGGTGAGAAACTATTCTTTTCAATTCCACAGATTTTATTCTTCTTCTGACTCCTTTACTAATCTGGGTAATTTTAAATTCTTTTCTTGACTCCAGAGCATGAATTTTGAGCATTTAGACTCAAAGTGAGGGAAAAACCACTACAAAGTGGATCAATTCTTAGTACAGCTAGCAAGATGGCACCTTAACTATAAGCAAAATAGCGTGGTGGAGATAACTTTAAAATTCACCAGGGGTGAAATCTTCTAAGAGCAATCCATTTAAATAAACTCAAATAATTGAGGATTCTGAAAATGGGAATATGCTTTGTGTTTACCCATCAATAACATCAACATTAATGTTAAGGACACCAATAACACAAACCAAAGTTTGAAAAGATGTTTCTCTATCCCATTGTAAAAGTCTTTGTTACCTGACTTATGCTGTCCATGAAACTAATTTATGACCCGAAAGCCTAATTTGATATTATTATCTGTTTTGAAAAATTTACTATCTACAGAAAATTTGTAAGAATAAAATAACCATATACATATCACTAAAATTCACTGTCAACATTTGTTTCTTTTTTTTTTTTTGGTACCGGGAATCGAACTCAGGTCCTTGCGCTTGCGCAGCAGGTGGTGAAACCACTGAGCTAAATCCCCAGCCCAATATTTGTTTCTTACCTCTAATTCTCTCCAATGTAGTTTCCCCCAGACCCTGGAGAGTAAGTGGTGGCCTTTACAGCCCTTTGCCTACTTGTCTGCATGATCTCCTAAGAATGAGGACATTCTCCTACATAACCATGATGCCATTATTACACTCTCAAAGTATTCCCAGCATGCAGTCCTTCCTCTAATTTCTGTCTCAATAATATAGTTTTTTTCCTTCCTAAATTTAAGATCCAAGCAGGGATCATAGAGTACATTTAGGGTCTTGCTTCAACTCTTTTCATCCAAAGCAGCTCTACTGCTTCTCTTCTTTTTCTCTCTTGGTTTTCATGAAAATGTCATTTTTAAAGATTTCAGGCCAGCAATTTTGTAGAATGCAATATTTTTGAGACCATTTGAGTATCTAACTCTCCTGAAGCATGGAATTTGGGCACATTTTGTTAACTAACAATTATATGGAGCCATAATTTATAATTGAATGCACTTTTTAAATATAAGCAATCAAAATAAATTTGTCCTTCCAGTGAATCAGCATAAACCCTGGGGAAACAAAGCATACCTTGTGCTGTGCCTTTCGCTGGGACTGCAGGCTGCTGAGGGGCAGGGTGAGAGCTCTCCTAAAAAATAAGAAAATCTTATAAGAAAATTTATATATGCATTCATTTAAAAGAAAAAACTTCCACATGAAACCCTTTGGTCCTTGCTTTTCACTTAGAGATCCATAGTACACACAGTAAAATGCACATAGGCAGATGTTCTAAAGGCACTCCTACTGCACTATAATAATACAAAAGAGCAAACACCATAAATACCCATAAATAGTGAAGCAATTAATTATACACTCATCCAATGCAGACATTAAAAGGATAAAGAAAGAAGACTTATGTATACTAACAGAGAAAGAAATCTGTGATGAAGGGGCAGTTAAAAAAAAACACCAGATATTCCGCCACCTGCCTTGTAAGTGGAAGGCCTTGCAAGTTTGATCCCCGGTACAAAAAACAAAACAAAGCAAAACAAAAAAAACCAAACCAGATAAGTATGGGAGGTTAAATCATTTTTACTCTTTCTGTGTATGTGGGTATATTATTGATAAATATAAACCTTTGATGATTGTTTTTGGTATGTACAGAACAGGGCCTGGGGCTACGTACAATAAATAATTGGTGATTACTTCTGAAGAATGGACAGTGAAGGAATATTCTATTAACTTTATGATTTCAACGTTTAAATAACGATTATGTACATCTTTTATATCTAAAAAATAAGAGAAAAGCCATATAAATGAATTCAAGGGTGGCTATACTTTTAGGAGCATCTCTGTATCAAATTGCTACTCATACTAAATTTGCTATTTTAGTAGAGCATTCAAAAGTGTAAACTCCAGGTGCTCTGCACAAGGAGATAGTTTTTTCAAGATTTTGTTTGTTCAATTATACTGTTATTATAATTGGAAGAATGAAGAACCAGGGCTGGGGATTTAGCTCAGCAGTTTCGCTGCCTGCTGCGCAAGTGCAGGGACCTGAGTTCAATCCCTGGTACCAAAAAAAAAAAAAAAAAAATGAAGAACCACACATGAGCAGAAACTTCAAATTATGGTATACAGATCAAATCTGGGTCACCTCTCATTTTGAAAATAATGCTGAAACATGGCTGTGCCTATTTCTTTTTTAATGTTTTGGTGCTTAGGACTTAACCCAGGGCCTCATGCTTGCTAGACAGTGTTTTACCAATGAGCTAAATCCCCAGCTTCTCCTTTCTTTACATAGTGTCTATGGCTGCTTTCTGGCTACAACAGGACTGAATCAGTATGACAGAACTGAGTGGCCTGCAGAGGCTTAAATATTTATAGTACTATTGGGTCTTAAACTGAAAGGGAAGTATATCCAGGAGGTACAAGGGTGGGGTAAAACCTTGTTAAAATCATTGTGCTCTTTGGAAATTAATACATGCAAAGGAATTAATATACGTCAATGTACTTAAACAGACAAATATTATGTATCTACACTTATGCTATAGGCTCACTGCTTCCTGATCTTTTAGAAGACTCAGATTTTTTGACAGAAACTTAACAACTGGTTCTTTTAGTGTCATTATCTATGGTACTGACCTTGACATGAAAAAACTTTTTTTGTTGGTTTGTTTCTTTTTGAGACAGCATTTTAGCTCAGGCTAGCTTCAAACTCTCTACCTAACCCAGCCTGGCCTTGAACTGTCAATCAAACTGCCTCAGAATCCTGGGTGCTAATTACCGCAGTGAGCCACCATACCCAGTAAAAAACATTCTTTATTAACCAAAAGCAAATCCTAATCTTGGCATATCTGGTCTTAAAGACTTCAAGTTCCCTTCCCTTCACTTCTAGTGCTGGGGATCCAATGCAAGGTCTTATTCATGTGAGGCAAGCTTTATATCACTGAGCTACATCCCCACATAGAACTTCAACTCTTATGTCTAGTGCCACGGAGAAGCCAGTTACCAGCTGGTTTCCTGACCATTGTCCTTTTTTTCCCTTTTAAATACATACTGAAAAGTACTTTTCTGGGAGGCAATCCAAGTCCTATTGGCATGGCAGATGGCTACTATATTAATTTTTATTATCTAAACGTTTTTTTTTTCCAGTACTGGGAATTGAACTCAGGGCCTTGCGCTTGCCAGGCAGGTACAGCACCACTGAGCTACATTCCTGGCCCTACACTAAAGTTGTTTTTTTTTTGGTACCAGGGATCAAACTCAGGACGTTGCGCTTGTGAGGCAGGTGGTGGAACCACTGAGTGACATCCCCGACCACTAAAGATTTTTAACTAATTTTTTCACTTCTAACTTACTTTTACCTCTAAGTGCTTTTTTTTTTTTTTTTTTTTGTGGTGCCAGGGATTGAACTAGAGACCTTGTGCTTGCAAGGCAGGCAGCGGTACCATTGAGCTACATCCCCGGCCTGTAAGTGTCAGATTCTTAGGTACAATGGTTGATCTTTTAACAAATTTATATACACACCAAAAAAATTTATATACACATTCATAAAAATATTTAACATCAGCTGAGCATTTCTAATCCAAATTCTGAAGTCAAACCTGGCTAAAATCCAAATATTTTTGTCAACACTCTATGAAAATAGTCCAAAATCCAAAAAAAACTCTGAAATCTGAGATATCTGGTCTCAGAAATTTCAGATAAGGGATGTTCAGCCTGCACTATTTCTTTTTTTTTTCCCCATTAACTTTATTGGTACATTTTAGGTATAAAATAGTTACATTCATCATTGGGATCTTGTACCATTACATGAGTCTCTTGGTTCTTATTTTTTTC